GCTTTAGCCAAAACAAAAACTCAACTTTTGAGGCGAGTAATGTTAGAGTCGAATTACCTAAATGAGTAGATAAATCACACCGAAATGCATTATATGCATGAAATATTTTAGATTGTAAATATTTAGTGGTTTAATTCGTATTAATGAATTTTGTATTGATATATTTAATAGGTTGTTAAAGACTTTGTACTCAACAAGAATTTTTATTTCATGTTTTGATTTTGACAAACTCTTGTTAGGTTTGTAATACAATTAAGTGATTCTATTGGTAGAAGCTATTACTGATTTTTTGAGACTCTTATATGACATGGATGCTTTAGCCAAAACAAAAACTCAACTTTTGAGGCGAGTAATGTTAGAGTCGAATTACCTAAATGAGTAGATCTTAGTGAGTGAGCTTGAAATTATTTGTTCTCTTTGTGTATTGTATATTCTGTTTTATTGCTTTCTAATAAGTCATTCTTTGATTACTTAAATATTTGTCAAATATTCCAACTATGTTTGCAATATTTGGATGTGTACAAATTTGCGTATTTGTAAGACATTTTTTTGTCAATGTTTAATAAATCTCAATTTTACTCCTTAAGCAACAACAATAACAACAAGAAGCATTTATCTCACTAAGTGGTGTTGGATACCTGAATTATTTTTCTCTGTTATGCCCTACTGAGTGTCATATTTTCAAATAATTCTAATAAATTAAGATCATTTTTTTATGCAACATGCCCAAGTCTTTTTTTGGTTTACCTCTACCTTTTTTAACATAAGTCAATTCTATAACATCTACTCTCCTAACCGAGTCATCAGATGGTTGATGTTTAATGTGACCAAACCATCTAAGATGACTCTCTAAATCTTGTCTACTAGAGCTACTTAAACCCTTTGGCGGATATAAGAAGCATTTGACCTTGCATTAGACCTTGAAGCATTTGTTTTACATTTTGTGTAAAAAAATGAATATATCACCCTAAGCATTAGATCTTGCTTGATATACAATCGTTTACAAAATTTGCTAAAAATTTTATTAATATATACTGCTTGTGCCAACCTAAGTATATTATGAGAATGATCTTGGTGAATTTATATACCCACCACAAATTCTTTTGATTTTTTCATTTTAAATTATTTTAAAGAAATTTTTTAGATTTCTATTATAACTCTATCACTGCTTACTAGGAGGATATCATTAATTTTTAATTTTACGAGAATGAATTTATTTGCTTTACGCTTTGATAAACTATTATTATTTTTTAAATACTAAAAGAAGTAATCACTTGGTTAAATTTTTTATACTATTAACTGGATGTTTCTTTAAACTACTTTTCTTTAAACTACTCACATTTTCTTAATTTTCGCGTCAAATGTTCTTAATCTTTGGATTGAAAGTTTTCTAATTGCACTCTTTATATACTTGTTTAATGTCACTGTTAAAATTAAAATCTTTTCATTCATTTAATATAGCTCCAAATCATAGTTTGTTGCAAGTGCTATAATAATGCTAAAAGAGTCTTTTAATGAAACCCCAAAAAAATCTTTGTAATTAATACATTCTTTTTTAGTAAAATTTTTAGCATTGAACAAATTTTATGTTTTTTGACATTACTTTTTAAATTTTTTTAGTTTTAAAAATTTATTAATAATTTACCGATATTGTTGGTTTATGCAATTCAACATGATTTCAATCCGTTTTATATTTCATTTTTTTATTTTATGGCTTCTATCCATTTTTGGACTGGACACATGCAACTGTAGCTTGGGGTCTTTTGGCTATGGAGATATTCTAAAACAATTTTTTTTAAGAGATGGATCATACTCAAGATAAAGTATTTTGCTATCAAAAAGAAATGCTCTCATTTGTTAATTGTATTTCTAAACTTTAATACAATTTATTAAATCGTAAATTCTTAACAGTTCTTGACTATATTGCAGTGAAATCTATAATTCAAATAGTTACTAAACATCTTATCTCTAAGCAATTTTTTAATTAAGTACCTTGGCTTTGTTTTTTGATTTTGACATTGAATATATTTCAGACACATTTAATTATTTACTGACTTAAAACTAATTTTAGGGCGACAGTGTTATCAATCAAGGTTAGGGGTCCCATAGTACCCCATAGATGTGGAGGTGTTAGAAATTTGACCTGTAAACTTGGTTAGATGATACCTCTACAAAATCTTCATCATAATCAGCCATCTCTTGAATTTTTAAATGAGATTCTGGTTGTTTAATCAAATTTTTTTTATTAAGCCTACGGCCAGGATTATTATTGAGGTCAGCTTCAAGGATCATGAAATTAATTGTCCTCGGACGCTTTTGGAGCATTATTTGTGAAAATTTCCATATCCCCCTCAGGTCTTCTTACATCAGGATGCATTTATACAAATTTTGATTTCGTTACTTTGTGTAAATTCTAAAATAATATAGATGAACCAACTAGAACTATTGCCTATCATAAATGCATGGTTAATAGAACCCTGCATCTTAAATATTGGGGATTGTATCACTCGTAGGAGATAACTATATTTACCATTGTTCATCCTCTTTAACAAATTTCGTTCAACTACTATATCTATGTTAAGGCAACGATGAAGACTCTTTCTATAAAAAATGCCAAACACAAATACTTGTGCATATTTTAATAATGAAGGAAATTATTTGGAAGGAAAAAGCTTTCATGCTATTAGTGCTCATGGGACAAATTTGGTGCTGAGCTGGAAATTCCACTTGCTTATATTAAACATACTTGAAGGTTGCAACCATGGGTTGATTCCCTCCAAAGATCGATGTTATTAATTCTAATAAATTTATCAAAGTCTAAAGCCTTTTTTATTATTTTATTGAGTCCCAAATCACTTTGTGGTCTAATATTATCATCAGTCTTGATCGCTTAAATTGACTTTGTTTACAAAGACAATTCTTAAATAATGCAAGTTAATGTGAATGAAAAACTTCAGTTATAATGATTGTAACTGTCAATAATCTGGCTAATCCATACTGAGCTTTTTGACAGCACTACCTTCTCGTTGAGAAGTATTAGAAAAAAGATTTGAAGGAAATATTTTCCCGAAATTTTAGATCATTTCAAACAATGGATGCTTGAAGAATATTATAAGCAATTTTTTGAGTTTCCAACTCCTATTCCTGTTTCTAATGTGAAGATTTTTATCTCATGATGGTGAGATATTCACCTTTAATGAAGACTTAGCCAGAAAATGGGCTTAGGCGCTAACATTATATTCTTAATAGCTCCCATAACCAACATTAAAGCACTATGGAGACCTTTGAGTAAAGGCTTTTATCTGTAAGCCTTCCAGAACAAGCAATGACAGTTGGCGGCTAATTTTACAGTATAAAATAAGCAATAATTCCTACCAAAAGGCAACAGGTGGTCCATGCTTCAGTGAATATATGATTATGATTTTACCTTTATTCACTTTATTTCTTCTATTCAATTACTAGAAATAGATTGTCTTCGGAATTGAGCTTCGGGGAGCCATCCAATAAAAGGAAATTCCTTTTGTCTTTTAGAAGTACATTCCTTGTACTAACAATGTAGATTCCTTGCATCGGAATTTTTAAATCTAGTTTGAGGTAATCATCTCATATATATATAAGGGTTTGCTGGCATATATTAATGCAGAGCAAAATACTCTTGAGTTTGGCGTGTCTTTGTGTGCTTTGTTTTCAATTGTGTTTGCAAACTTCATCTTGTAAATATAGCTTTTTAAGAATAGAAGTTGTCTCAAATTTTGTGTTGTTTTAAGATTATATAGATGAGAATCATTACCTTGACCTTTGAAATTCGAGATTTTATGAAGCAAAATTTTACACTCTTATTGTTTGTGCTGTTGCTTATGTTGGTGAGGAGCACAAGTAGAAATACTAAAATCATGGTTAAAAGGAAGAAACTTGTAAAATAAAGGAAAAAAAACCAGTAAAGCTTAAAAATGCACTTTTTTATAATCAGTGGGAATTTAATAGGTTATGACGCTAAAAAAAAAAAGCTGACATTAAAATCATTGAGTTCTTCAGCTGCATAATGCAAACATATTTCATGCAAGAATGAGCTCCAATTACAAGAAAATCCTCGATGGGAAAGAGCTGTGGTGCAATGCAATTCTCAGAGAAGCAGAAGGTTAATGATTTCACAACGAGGGGCATTGGGAGGGAGGACATGCAAGTGTATTCTTCTCTTTAACAGCATAATTTATTAGGTCAAGCTGTTTTTTTTAATCAAAATTGAAGATAAAATTTGAATGTATTGAAAATGATTAACATGTAACTAAACTTTAACCCCATCATCCATATGGCATGAGAGAGAGGCTATATGGCGTGAATGGTAAAGTTCTAGTGGTGGCACTGAGCAAATGACCTTTGAAAAAATTGAAGAGCTAATTGAACGGTAAATAAGTACTTTGATAAGTGAAGGACCTTGGGTAGCTGTGGAAAATTCTTGTTTGATGGGGCTGCTAAGCATTGTAACTTGAGAAGAAAGTGAAAAAGGGTTGCCTGTGTTTCATTTCCTTATTTAATACTGGCGGCTGGACAAGACGGTTAGACATATATCTTTTTGTGTTTTCCTGATATTATTATAAGTTTTCATTTTTTTCGCTTTTATGATGTACTAGCTTCTTAATCTTCAACAGTACTTATAGGCTATTTACAATTCTTAAATTTTACAGTGTTTCTCGATTGGATGAATGAACATTATATGTTCATTTTTTTTAATAATGTAGTTGATTCATCTTGCAGTTGTAAGCGTTTTTGTCTGCTTTAACAAGTCGTATGATGTGCTTATCTATCATTATTCCATGGCTTCACTTTTGTTACTCGATTCTTATTTGAATATGCTACAAATTTATATGCATGTTTTTTCTTATTACTAAACGTTTAACAGGTATGCAAAAGTTTAGGTGCTCATATAATTTAGTTTGAATATTTCATTATACGGATTCATAATAGTTAACCATTGTAATCTTATCTTTATATTTTGGCAGCTTCTATTTATTAATGGGTGATGTGGAGGAGTTCCGCTGTTTTATAGGAGGCCTTTCGTGGTCCACAACTGATAATTCTTTGAAGGATGCATTTGAGAAGTTTGGCCGTCTTACTGAGGCCAAGGTATCCCTGAATTTAGAATTTCCCCCATAGTATGGAAAATTTATATTTCCTTGCAGTGGCACTAAAGGAATAGCTATATCCTAGTATTTGGAAGGTTTGTTGCTCTAACTTGTTAATCATGAACTTTATTAGTCCTCAGGTAAGTATCTTAAGTCTCTCATTTTCAATGTTCATTCATCCAATCGCCAATTTTGGGGTTTCAACTCAGATGAATAAAAACTTCCATCCCATGCTCAAGATTGGCTTACATAATTGCATTGGTGATACTGGTGATGTAGGTAAACCGTGTAAGAAAATAATGAAAATAGGAAGGAAGATGAAAATGACAAATATTTATACAAACAAAGCCTCTTAATCTCATGTTTTTGGGTTATACAAGTGAAGCATCAAAATCATGGAATGCAGTATTTTAATGATACCATAATTTTTTTAAATGGTTAATAACGCCTCCTATTTATAGGACAAAATAAGAAATTGCTAACAAATGCAATGATACTGATTACAAATGTAATTACAAAATGACTAAATCATCCACGATAAAATAATTGATTAGAATTTATATTCTTCAACTCCACTGGCAGAATAACACCTCTACGATGAAGGGTGTTGATAAAAAAGGGGGACCCCATTATCCATGGACCGGAGAATGGTGTATGGTACTTCTGATGGACTAGAGGATGATGTGATCTTGAAGGAACTTGGAGAGCTCATATAAGCATAAGATTGATGTCTTGTGGAAAGAGGGCTGCCTTGTTGGAGATTCACAGATGGCTGGAGGGTCTAACACCTCTATGATGAATGGTGTTGATTAAAAAGCTTAGCCCCCGTTATCCATGGACCAGAGAATGGCGTATGGTACTTCCGATGGACTAGAGAATGATGTGATCTTGAAGGAAAATGGAGAGCTCATTTTGTATTGTGTATTGTCTTGATTACTCTAAAAATATTAATTTGAACCTCCAAGCATAAGATGGATGTCTTCTGGAAAGAGGGCTGCCTTGTTGGAGATTCAGATGATTGGAGGGTCCTAATGGGCTGCCTTCTTGGAGATTCACAGAAGATTGGGGTTGTCCAATCGATTGTCATTTCATTTTTCATGATCTACAAATTTCCTTTTCTTTTTGTTTTGTTTTTGTTGCTTTGTTCTCTTCTTTTTTTTTTTCGTTTTTGTTTTTTTTAATATTAAACCACTCTTCATTGTTTCATGTGAACAGTAATGTTACTATTTAGGTAGCTTGGGTTTTTATTTAATTGGCATTTGTTCAGAAAACTTTTGTTAGTTTTTTTTTTTTTAAGAGGAAATCAAGGAGAAGGTTTAAATGATAGGATAGTGGTTTTTTAAAAATTTTAATTTGTAATTTAAATTTGGATGAGACAAAATAAACTGAAATTACTGGAGAGGACGCTTGGTTAGTTGGGGGTTGTTGGAGAAGATTGAAGAGAATTGATCGAAGGAAAACAATATTTCACCATGGGTTTACTATTTGTGTAAACAATAATTTTATTTCTCCACAAACTATATTAATCAACTGTAAACAAAAACTATCAAAGGCTTTGATAGAAACATGAATAAGCGATAATGATGTAAGGATTCAAACATCTTAAAGGAAAAAACCCCTTTTGAACTAACAATATTGAATTTACGTTTATAATGAACTTATATCACAACAGCAATTACTAATGGATGCAAGGCAGTTTAAAGAAAAACTAGAAAAGATAATAAAAGATGCAAAAGATAAAAAGATCAAGTAACAAGATATGCAGGTCTCTTGTCTAAACAAATATATTATGACTCATGGAAGGATTTCAGGTCCCACACCTAACTAAAGATCATAAACCCAGTATAGATAATGAAGGGTCTTATTCTCGTGGTCAACTACCTCATGTGCTTCATTTTTCTTATTTATAGATGGAAGAAAAAACAAACTATTAACAAGCTACAAATAAACTGTTAACTTTTTGCCAATAAATTTTGATGAATTCATAAAAAGTATTAACAAAATTTAATGAAACAAAAATAGTATAATCATAACGTCTTAATGGAAATTTTGTTTTGAATTAAAAATCTTCAAATCATGTTTATAACGAACTTATATTGCAACACTCTAATACCAAGGGTTACAAAACAATCTAGAAGAAAAACTAGAAAAGATAATAAAAGATGCAAAAGAAAAAAATGCTAAGTAACATGATATGCGAGTCTTTTGCTTTTTCTTGTAGATTACCTCTTGTGGGAGGATTTCAGGTCCCACATCTAACCAAGGATCATAAACCTAGAACTGATGGAGGGTCTTCACATTTACATAAACTTTTTTTTCCATGTGATCAACTATCTCATGTGACTTAAACTTGTTCTTATTTATAGTTGGAAGAGGCAACTAACTTTTATAAAGCTACTGGTAAACTGTTAAAAATTTGCTAATAAATTGTTGATAAATTTCAAACAAGGAATTAACAAAATGCGATGCCATTAAATAGTATAATATTGAACTTTAAAAGATATAAATTAACTTGATATACATGATACAAGGAAAATTCAAATGCTTCGTCTACTTCAAATTGCTTGGGCATTGTTCATTAAAATTGTGCTGATGCTATTTTTTTGTTGTCTTGTATGATATTAAATTATCACTCTCACACAAATTTTTTTTTCTCAATTCTACTACCTATGAGATCATGAAGTCTTATAGAAGGTTTACTTGCAAAGTGGTGGGTTTTTAATGAATTTTCTCTATTGCAATTTTTTTTTTTTTTAAGTTAAGTTGGAGAGAAATGGAACTCAACTTGTTAGCTTGTGAACTGATTTGTTAAATAAATATAAATATGTAATATTTAAAATTTATTAATAGTAAATTATTTAAAATTAATTTAAAATGTTTCAAAATTTAATTCTTTTTTGTCAGCTGGTTCTTTATTTTCTTTTGATTTCCCATTCTTATTAGCATTTTTCGTATAACTTGAACCTATAGAATTGAACCCAGCTTGAGGCTGATTAATTAGTCAAGATCAAGATTAAACAAGGGTGGTTCAAGCTCTAATTGATTTGTTTACACTCCTATTAAGCATGGTACTTTATGGAAGGTCGGCTCATCACATATGAAGAAGTGATTCTGAACTCTATTTGTTGTAGTCCAATAATTTTCTGTCCTTGATAAATAGACAGCTACCTAACTTGCGTTATTGTTCATCACTTCTATTTATTTTCCCTCTTATATTTCCCTTCATAATAGATGGAAATTTTTTTGAATATTTTTTTAGTTGTTGATATTACAGCATTTCGTAATTACCTTGGTTTACAAAACTTATGCTGAACAATTATTCTGTGTGGCTGATTGAATGCGGAGATGCCGTTGTTCACTGTAGTTTTTTGTAGATTTTTTGTTGATTTGTATTTGAAGCTATCTCCATACGGTGAAATTGCAGGTGGTTGTTGACAAGTTTTCTGGTCGATCTCGTGGATTTGGTTTTGTTACATATGATGAGAAAAGAGCAATGGAAGATGCCATTGATGAAATGAATGGAATAAGCCTTGATGGGCGGTCTATTACTGTAGATAGAGCTCAGCCACAAGGCCCAAGTAGAGATCGTGATGGAGGACGTGATTATGACCGTGATAGAGATCGTGATCGCGGTCGTAGCTCTGGTGGAGGTCGAGGTTCTGGTGGAGACTGTTTCAAATGTGGCAAACCGGGCCATTTTGCTAGAGAATGTCCTAGTGATGGCGGTAGAGGAGATAGGTATGGTGGCAGGGATGACAGGTATGGCAGGGATGACAAATCTGGAGGTGGTGGAGGTAGCAATCGTTATGGATCTGATCGTGGTGGAGACCGTTATAGTGGACGCAGTCGAGATGGAGGTCGAGATGGAGGTCGCGGTGGATCAGGGAGTGACCGCTATAATCGCGATCGCTCTGGTCCTTATGAACGCCCAAGTGGTGGCAGCTATCGCAGTTGATGAGGCGGTCACTTCTGTCTCAGGTTTGCTGTGTGTATTCCTATTACCTATGAATTTAATGTCGTGATTTAAATTCTGTCGTCTGATAAAATTTGGCAGTGTTGTGGTTGGTGCTACTTTCATCAGAAGCTGTACGGGGCATGCTCCTTGGTGTCTGTTGGCCGTGAACATGCTTTCTTTTTTACTTAGGATTTGCTGACGTGCTGTCCTTTTGCAAGTGTGGATCTTTTACTGGATGATCTATTGTGTTTCTCAGATGTTCTTTTGCTGATTGCATCAACTGCTGCTTAATAGTTACTTGGCGTGAAACTGATCTTGGTACATTAGTTTACACCTGTTGCTACTAAATTCGAGTTGATTGGCTGTCATTCTCCATTCTGGTTCTTCTTTGGTGCTTTGTGGTCCTTATCTTGATGCCATAGAACCACTTGTGACAGTATTGAAAGGTCAAAATCAATATTTGAGCAAATATGCTTGTGGTCCTTCATGGGAACTGCGTGAGATTATTGGTTGTCCATGAAACTGCAGACTAATAACAACAAGAAAATGGCTTTGCATGTGTTCACTAAAGTTGCCATTACCGGGAAAGCAGTTTTTTTATTTACTCTCGAAGCTATAGAAATTTGGTAAGTGTAGATGCCCTTGATATATAGATGGGACAGTCAATTTCTTCATGATTCTTGATTTTAACCAAGCTAAGTTAAATTTTTTACAGGCTGCACTTGGGCTTTTAGATTTTGTTCGTTATTAGTGCTCTCTGGGTTACTTGATGGCTAGTCTTGCACTTGTTGGAATTTGGTTGTTTGCGTACCTGGGGCCTTTCATCTTAGATACAGTTTGGTTCCTTGTTCCTTTTTTTGATTGGACTGCTCCTGTCCTGTATACGCATTGCTGAAACACAAATTGAAGTCTTTTACTGCTCTATAGCATTTTCTGTGGTACAGATGCTCTAGTTCTCCATTGTTTCCTTCCACAGTTCGCAGCATACTGGGTCGTCCCATTTGCTAATTTATCTTGGCTCTTTTAGAGATTTCTGCCCTAGTTTTCTGCGTTAAAATAGGACTTGTTTTGCCAAGCGAATACTTATTTTGATTCAGCTTTCCCATTGTGTGCTCCCACAGAAGATTTTGCTAATTTAGACCTATGAAGTCAATGTTAAGGGATCTGTCGTCGTTGCGCTGTGGAATTCTTACATGTTCTCTTGATTAAGGTTTTCTCGCTTGTCTTTTAAAGGTCCATGCTTGCTAAAGGCTGTAAGAAAACACTTTTCTACTGGTTTTGCTATTGAATTTTAGAAGCTTCCTTGGATTTTATTTTTGTGCTTCTTTGCGTGACTTTATTAAACAATTTTATGTTTATTTCAAAATTTGTTTAAATTGCATGCCCATTCCTCTTGTTATTGCCGGAATTCAATCTTTCGTGAGCGTGCATATGTTTATTATCATATTCTCCCTTTTTTTTTTCTAGTTGCTATTTTGAGTGCTGGACTTTATAGTTTATTTCCATATATATAAAAAAAAAAGTTCTAGTTTAAGATGCTATTTTGAGTGCTGGACTTTATAGTTTATTTCCCCTTGAAAACCCTTAAAAACTTATAATTGTCAGTTTTAACCTGATTGTTCATTTTTATTGATCTTTTAATAAATAATATGCAGCAATAGTAGAAATGTTGTGATTTTGGGATTTCGGAATTTCTTTTTTTTATCAAAGATACTGATTTAAGTAAGCTATTAAATGTTCACTTGTATATTGGCTGTTTATCCGGGTTTAGATGCCGGCATATAGCTAAATCAGACTATTCCATCTTGAATTTTGAGTATAGTTTTAATAAATTTATGAAGGTTTGATTAGCATGACTCAAGAAACTTTTAACTCTGGTTTAGTCATTTATATTTGACTTCTAGTGGATATAAAACTATCATATTTTACCATAAAATATTTAGTCACTTTATAATTCAGAAGTAAATAAAAGGTATATTCAATATTTAAATTTTAAAATTATAATGTTCCATTTTTAAAATTTTCAGAGTTGCTCTGAAAGCAAATGTTGTTAACCAGCAGAAGCTTGAAACACCTCTAATTTGAGCTGTATTAATAATCCGTTCAAGTTTTATTTAAGCTTAGTTTCACATTTTCACCCGGCTGTGTAGGCTTATTATGAAATGACTTATTTTTTTATTTATATTCATTATTAAGAAAACAAAAAATATTGCAATTTAATAATTGTTTTGCAATGTAATATTTGCCATTTAATTTAAAATTGAAATATTATATCAAAGCAAATTTAACTATGTTGATTAAGCACCTCATTGACTCGGAATTAGGGGGTGTAAATAAGTCGAGTCGAGCTCGTGACGCCCTTAGCTTATGCTTGGGCTTGATTAATTTTTTAAAGATTGAAAAAGACATTAATTTAAGCTAGCATTAAAATAAGATAATAAATAGCGTAAATAATTATAAACTAACTAATAACAAATTATTTAACATAAAATATAAAATATTATTTTTAAGCATTTTTCATAACTTAAAAATTATATTTTAAATTTATTTTATATTAATATTTTTTGAAACGAGTTCATTAGAGTAGAGGAGTAAACGAGCCGAACACGAGCGAGCCTAGGCCCAACTCATGTTTGGCTCGTTTATATTTTGATCTAAAAAAATGTATTCGTGTTCGACTCGTTTGCTTAGCGAGTCGAACACGAGCCGTTCACCAACAAAGAGTCATTTTGACAACTTTAATCACGTAGTCATAAAATATTAATGATTGGGCAAGATTTAAAACATCATTTGAATCTAATTTAATAATTTTTATTCTATTTTTTCATTAATACTTTTAATTAAATATAAACCTTTGTACCCTTGTAGTCAATTAAATTTTTAAAAATACTTTTCATCAAATATATAAATATAACTAATTAGTAGTATTTCGAGTCAAAATGAGTCAAAAACGAACGAACAAATATTTGTTTGTGTTGTTCGTGTTTGAGTCAAAAACGAACGAACAAATATTTGTTTATGTTGTTCGTGTTTGATTCGTTAACTTAACGAACGAGCCAAGCCGAATAAAAGCTGCTCATGAATAACTAGAGAGAGAGAGAGAGAGAGAGAGAGAGAGAGATGCTAAAGCAGGCGATAAAGAGAAAGATGACTGAGAATACTTGTTGATCGCGATCCCCCGTCCATCCGCCATGTTTTCTAAGCCTTCTATCCTCCTTTTTCTCTTGCTCTGCTGCTTTCCAGCACTCGCAACGCCAGGACCAGATGCGACGATTACCGTGGGCTCGTTCATCACCGCCGACAAAAGTAACTCGGAGGCCGCGGCCTGGTTTTCCCCCTCCCGCCAATTCGGCTTCGGTTTCTACTCGGTGGGGAACGAATTTGCCGTCGGCATATGGTTCGTCCCCAACAGAACCATCGTATGGACGGCTGACCGCGATGGTGAGCTCATCCCTGAAAATAGCAAGCTCCATCTCGCTGAAGACGGAATCCAGATACCCAGCCCCAACGGCGATAGATCTATCGCGAACATCTCCACCACTGCAAAGCTTGCGTCGGCCATGATGCTAGATTGCGGTAACTTCATCATCATGGACGTTAACAACATCATCACTTGGCAGACCTTCGACAACCCTACCGACACCCTCATGTCTGGCCAGGTACTCAAAGCCGGGAACAAACTAGTCTCCAGCGTCTCAGCCACCAACCACTCAAGCGGAAGGTTTCAGATCGTGATGCAGGAGGACGGAAACTTCTTTGCGCGCCCAGTAAACACCCCAGACACTTCCGCCCACTTTTACTGGTCCTCCAACACCAGCGGCGACGGCTACACCGGCATACTCCTTGGCATAAATGGTAATCTTTTTCCAGTTAGAGACCCAAGCGGCACTCACAACTTTACTCTGTCTTCATTGAGTTATTACTTTGCGAGAATAGAACCGGACGGGTTTCTGCGGATATACAAGACCAGCAGTAACTTAGCGCAGTTTGCAAGCGAACTGCCGGACGACGACAATGGCTTCGATATGTGCTCCATAAAAGGCGCGTGCGGCCAAAACAGCTACTGCAGTTTTACCGCCGGAGTCGCTAATACTTCCACCGGCTTCGTCCAAGGAGAGGTGGCATGCCTCTGCTTTCCTGGCTACGACTACACTGACCGGAGCAAACCGTATATGGGTTGCGAGAAGAATTTCTCCATGGGACAATGCGTCACAGATAATAACTTCTCGTACTCCATCACCAAACTGACTAACATTTCTTGGAGCGATGACCCGTATACTTACTCCGACCACAGCACGGAGAAGGATTGCCGTGACTCGTGTTTACACGACTGCAACTGCTACGCCGCTCTGTTCTTCTCGTGCCAGAGATGCAGTAAGCAAAGGCTTCCGCTCTTGTACGGGAGGTCGATAGAGTCCACCGTCGCGTTTCTCAAGGTTGGCTCCGGACAGATGCAGCTGCCGCCACAACTACCAGCTGAAGAAGCGATCGTTAAAGTCCCGAGACGAAAAACTCTGCTTTTAAGCATGGCGTTAGCTTCAGTGTTAATCGTTTCTCTGGCTGTAACGATCATCATCTTCTACAAAAACCGAGACCCTAGCTACAAAAGGCTGTGCAGAAACATGGAGACCGGCCTGTCGGGAGGGTTGGCGCCGCGGTTCTTTACGTATCATCAGCTAGGAGTGGTTACAGACGGTTTTACCAAACCCCTTGGGAAGGGGGGTTTCTCCACAGTATTCAGAGGGGAAATCCCTCTGAACAACGGCGAGGTGATGCCCATAGCGGTGAAACGGCTGGACAAGAAACTGTCGGCGGTGAACGAGAAAGGGTTTCGCACTGAGATGAGAGCCGTGGGACGAGCGCATCACCGAAACATCGTGCGGTTGCTCGGATTCTGCCACGAGGGACCCAAATGGTTGCTCATTTACGAGTACATGAGCCGGGGCTCGCTCGCCCACCTCATCTTCCCAAAAGATAAGGCCCATGCCCGGCCAAGCTGGAAGGAGAGGTCTGGCATGGCTATGGATGTGGCCAGAGGACTCCTCTACCTTCACGAAGGATGTGACAACATTATCATCCACAGCGACATCAAGCCCGAGAATGTGCTCGTGGGCGAAGATGGCACGGCCAAGATTGGCGACCTCGGATTGGCGAAGCTACTTAGGCCGCGGCAGTCAGAGACATACACTAGCCCAAGGGGGACTTTCCTCTACCAAGCACCGGAATGGAGAAAGGATGCGACTGAGCCTGTGTCGCCCAAAGTCGACGTCTACAGCTTCGGCGTTCTCCTGCTTGAGCTGATAACCTGCAGGAAGTACTTTTTGGGCGACGCGGAGAATGACAGCAGCATTCTGTCCGAGCTGGTTTATAAGTGCTTGATAGAGTCGACATTGGAGCGGTTGGTGCCGGAAGGAGAGAACGTGAACATGGCGGAGCTGAAGATTATGGTCATGGTGGCGCTCTGGTGCGTGCAGGAGGTGCCTGGTCAGCGCAAGTCCATGAAGGAAGTGGTCCGCATGCTGGGAGGAAATATGAGCATACCAATGCCTCCCGATTCTCTTGTCTAGAAATAATTATTATGTAATAAATGTATTGGATATATTTGGTGAGCTTAGATTAACATCTCTAAAAGACGAAAAAATACTACCTCAATACTGATACATCATTACTTTAATGATGGAAGTAATGATGGGGTGTCACGTGACGTCATGATAAGACCATTGTCTCAGGAGTATTGATACATCAGTACTCTAATGGTGGGGTGTCACGTGGCGTCACGATGAGATCATTGCATACGTGACACTCCATCATTGGAGTACCCTCAATACTGATACATCATTACTTTAATGATGGAAGTAATGATGGGGTGTCACGTGACGTCATGATAAGACCATTGCATACGTGACACTCCATCATTGGAGTACTGATGCATCAATACCCTCGATGTAATATTTTTTTTTCTAAAAGACACTCTAATTCACGTCTATGACATCCATTTTGAATAATTTCTACACCACTTATTTGTTTAATTAAAGTTTGGTGTATGATCTCAACTATCTTCCAGTTAGACCTATTTCTCCTTTTATAATATTATATGATGCTTTATTTATTTATGTATTTTTTTCTGCGTTATCTGGGAGGTGATCTATATGTATTGTTAAGTGTTGTTGCTCAAAAATTTATAATTTGGTTGTGGTGGATGAAATAATTTGAAAAAAATAACTGCAGTGAAAAAAAATAAATTACAAAAATAAATATGATCAGTTATTAATAAGTATTGTTAATACTATTTTTTCAAAAAATAGTACTAACTTTATATTTTTAAATACATATTGAATCCATTTAAACCCTAGAATTTTCTATAGTCCGTGTACACAAACAACTCCATGGAAGAACTCGTATGATTATGAAATTGATGGAAAATTAAAAATAAAATTGAGAGACATGAAAATTCCCTTGTGAATACTTTGGGAAAGCCTATCTCATTGTGATTTCTGGTACGCCAAAGAAAATTATTAACAACGATCCCTCAAGCTCCCTAGAGTACAGAGAGAGATATTTTTAGAGAGAGAGAGAGACATTCTGAGGCCTTGAGAAATAGTTCTAGGAACCAGCCCCTTTTTCCTTTCTTTTTGTTTCCTCTTATACATGAAGGACAATTAATCATAAAATAATAAATACAGTTTTTCTAGCTTCACTGGTAAGCTTTCTCTTACATCTTTCATTGGAAGACTTTAATGTAGAAAAGATCTAGATCCTTTTGACTTCGGCAATGATTTTGGCCTTGAAAATTGATAGGTGCATTAAATGTTGAACGAACATATATTAATGTTGAGAGGACATATATTTGAGCATCCTTTATAGGCTTCGACTTATAGATGCATTTCAATCACTTTGGCTAGCTAGTGAGTATGGCTTAGCTACTCTGGTTGGCATACCCAGTCTGGGCACTTTGGTTGATAGGCTTAACTCAGTTACTTCAGCTGATAGGACCGGTTTAGTCACTTAAACTAGAGCATTCGGTTCCCATGAAAAAAATAAAGAGAATAAGTTGAGAATTATTGTGATCAGGCTGATAGGACTGGTTCAGCCACTTAAACTAGTGCATTCGGTTCCCATGAAAAAAATAAAGAGAATAAGTTGAGAATTATTGTGATATGGTATTTTTGTATATATTTAGTTTCCTGATTTCATTATCTCTTTGATTGAGTTTATGAGATTCCTACGAGAAGAATGAGGAAATAAACATATCTTCCTACTTGATTTCCCTTTGAGCCCTTCGAGGGAGAGACAAAATTTGTTTTTAGGGATAAACTCCTTTATAAGCATTATTAGCTCTTTGGCTTATCCTGAAGGAATTAGATTTTCTCCTTTTTAGTTGCACTATCAACGTCCAACTGACTGCCCTTCTCATGAGAGAAATATTATGCTATTCCGATAGGGAATAGTCCCTTATTATCTGTTAGTGGTTCAGGAATATATTCTTTCCTCTCGTGCTTTGACTTTTACGTATAAAAGTTGATTAGACTGATTCACTTATCTTGGTTGTTGGGGTATGTTGAGTGATTTGTTTTTGTTTTGTCTTATTACGAATGTCTATCTTGATTTGTTGGATTGGTACTTTGTTGTGCTACATAATATGATTCTTTGGTTTTTTTTTTCGGCCTTCACTTCGTTAACATTATATGTCGCTTACAGAAGTTAGGTTAGAATTTTGAAGGGTGTTATTGTGATATTTATTCAAAATGTCTAATGATAATGCTTCCCTTGGTATTTATATAAGTTCATGAAGGTTTGGAAGAGTGGATCTCCACACATCTTTTTAGATACCATTTTATTTGCATGAGGGGAAAAATTCTGTTGTTGGATGAAGATCAAAAGTTTTATGGATATATGATGGTAATTATCCATCATTAGGAGCAAAATGATTGACTGACATTAAAGAGAAACGCCATTTGCAGGTTGAAGAGGAGTCCCAAAAAAGGACAAACATTTTGGAAGAGGAGGTACTCCTTTAAAAATCTTCGGTAAATTTAAACAATCCAACATATATCTTCCATTCCATTGAGCATCCCTTGTCTATTGGTGGTGTCATTACGGTGTGTAGACTATCTTTACCTATTTATCATGGTTTCTCATATTTCTAGATTTATATATCTGCTAGGTGGTCAAGCACAAGTCTTAGTAAGGAATATGCTCCTTTTGGAGGTGGAAAACCCGTAGCCTTTGTGTTAGAAGAAACAATTTCAAAGCATCGGGTTGCTAAGTGATCCTCTGATGGAATTAAGTTTGCATGATTCCCTCCATATTCTTTCTCTTTCCTACCTAATTTGTATGTCGATCGTTTCCAAGAGCATTAACAAGGCATGATGTGGATGGATTAGATTTAAATGGGGCAAGAATTAAATTTCCACTAGAGAAGAAAGGACAAACTGCAGGTGGCTTTCAAATTTAGCTGCACTTCGGAGGACGCTTTGGCTTCTTCTAGAGGATAGTTATCTGACCTCACTCGTGTGGCTGATTTGGTTGTGTCATCAATGGCTTCATAAACTCGTGTTTTGTCTCTAGATGGCCTGCCTATTGATGTTGGGATGTATATTTCTGATTTGGAAACCAAGATTATAGAGATGAATGATATGGAATTAATATTTACCTTGCGAATTCAAGAGCTAAGGACAGACTTTAATAGATAAATTTCCCAGAATAGTAAGCTATAAAGGGCTAACTTTGAAAAGGAGATGGATGTAATGTGCCATTTGATGGATGGAGTTAGTTTCCCACTGCTAATATGATGAAGAAATAAAAAACTAGAAGGCAGAGATAGATTTCCTTTGACAGGATATGGATTTGGCGAGTCAGATAATCTTATAATTGGTCATCTGATCATCCTTCCTCGTCTGCTTAATGTTGGGGTCATTAACGTTGGTGATGTTCAAAGAAATGACATTTCCTTTTTAATTTCTTAAGGCCATGTTGGTATTTTTACTCTTTGATGTAACTACCTTATTGGATTAATAAAACTATTCATAAATTTTGGCCTCTCTGATTCTTGTTCTTGCGTTGTTGTTTAATGTTCTTGTGTGGTGTACTGTTAATTCTATTTGGAGGTATGTATATGTCATATCACTTGTGTCTCTTATTCGAGAAAGAGTGACTCCTTGATTTTATCTTGCTTTTAACCTTCAATGAATCTTTTTTCTTTAGTGTTTCTTTTCAGAATATATTCAATAGTGTCCAGCTCATATAGAAGAGGAGCCTCTGCTCTAGCATGAGCAGTTATGGATGAATTATGGTTGCAGTTTCACTATGTGTTTAATGATTCAGTGGTTCTCATGAAAGAGAAAAAGGCAAAATTCATAACGCTGAGTAAGACTATGAGATTTGTATGTTTCTCAAGTAGTTTTGTTCTAGTTTATTTTTCTCTTTGTGCCCAGAGTCAGCAGATCTTCTAAATTTCTTGGTCTCCTTTTAACCATTATAAACTCTATCACTATAGCCATCTTTAAGGTGATGACGATGTTCTCAAGGGAGAGGGGTATGTATTGGTACATTAATTTGTTTCCTCATTTGTTTAACATGAGAACTCAGAGTGGTATGATAATTTTCTCCTACAAGTTGAGGATAACAAATTTCAAAACAAGATGGCCTCTGAGTGAAGCATGCAAATTTTCTTTGCTCGTGATTTGAAGGGCTGGAGCATTCCTACCAAGAGGTTGCCGACATCGAAGGAGACTTTTGAGGCTATGGAGATGATGACTGAAGAAAGAAAGAGATATAAGGAGTTGCAAGATATGGAGAACAATATCATTAACTACACCTCCCCATTTTTTTAAAAAGATTATGACAAGCGAAAGAACCATTGTTTCGGGTTCCCCGCCAATCTGCCTCGGGTTGACAACACCTAAGGTTGACCTGCATGAATCATACTTCCTATAAACTATTAAAGTAGGAGATTTTGGCTAATCATATCCCAACAAGGCGTTGAATATAAGGGAGACATAGGAGGGTTCGAAAGCCATTTGCAAAGTGCTCGCAAACTTGAAAGATAAATGAAAAGCAATCACCATTAAGAGAAGATCTTTCGATTTACCACATCATATTTATAGCTTAGGAAAGTTACCCGACTTGCAATTATGCAATAATTTACTTCCAAAAGATGACAAAAAACTTGACCCAAATTTATATTTAGCGGCTAGTTACCTCCCCATTTTTTTAAAAAGATTATGACAAGCAAAAGAACCATTGTTTCGAGTACTACGCAAGTATAAAATTTAGAAAAAAGTTTACACACTAGGGTACTACGCAAGTATACATATCGTTTCAATTAATATAAGGTTTTCTTTTAAAACCCAGAGTATCGATCCTACAGAGAAGCGAGATAATAAATCCTTTAGGTTAATTCTAATTTATTACTATTAGGCCTTAATTTGAAATGTCGATTAAAGTGGTTTTTCTAACAACTACTACTACTAAATGAAAATCTTAATTCTAAAGATAACTTATCTGGATTAATTGGTTCGGAGAATTTTGAGATGTTAAAGACTACACTTCTTGTGCGTTGACCTAGATAATGTATAAGAATGAAATGCTTAAAATATAATTTTGCGATGACAAATAGGAGCATACATATTATTTACTTCTTTATTTCTTTTTCTTTT